AGCACATTATTACTAAATCATTGTGCCATCAAATAAAGCTTTCACTTACGAAAAATTGAAATTATACTGAACAACTTAGCTATATTATGATCTAATTTATAATTTACTGAAGCTTTATAAATTGTATATGAACAAAATGCATGGCACAAGCACTTTATTACTGAGTCATTGTGGCATCAAATCAAGCCTTCACTTACGAAAAATTGAAATTATACTGAACAGCTCTATAATGATCTAATCATTGGTGTAGGTCTTGTGTGATTTTCAGTAAATACAAAAGATATCAAATTTATATGGATGCATTTTTGACATAGTAACATTTTGAAGTCAGTTTGTAAGCAAAAAATTGAGAAATTAAGTATTTCTGTACATTTTTCAGACGATCTTTGAAACTAAAATTGGTGAAATCTATTAATCTAATTGTTGGCGTCAGTACTTATCGCATAAGATCCCAGCTATCACACTGAATGACATGCTGGTTTTCCACAAAAATATCAACATTCCCAAATAAGCATGCCATCATTATCCATCTCATTCATGGTCCTTATGTTAGGCATGTTACTGCCCTGCTCTGCCACTCTCGCTTTCAGTATGTGCTGTGAGTGTGAAATTCTCCAAGCCGCCTTTCCAAATTATATATCACCGAAATTCCAACGGCCTCTTTCAGATCGCATACAAAAGTCGCCTTTTCCCTCGTGGTGACATTAAAACTTTCCCGGGATATATAACTGAGGTTTATTTAATTTTATTCATGATTTTTTTTTTAAAAACTTTGTCATAAAGTGGACAGATAAATCATTCACTTTTTATATATATATATATATATATATATATATATATATATATATATATATATATATATATTTTTTTACTTTTTTTTTTTGTTTTTTTTTTTTCTTTCAAAATGACATCCCAAAATCACAGCTTAGGATGTTTACTTAAATCCAGACAAAAAATAACAATTAATATCATCGCCATTCGGGACGTAGGCGATCATGGCTCTTCAAATATTCTTTTCATCTCTTAAATGTAAATAACTGTGTGTTCTTAGAAACAATTCAGTGGTTTCCCGGCCGCTTGTCAACGGTTTTGGAATTCAGAGGTTTCATTCCCGCAAACAGTATGTAACTCGAGGCTAGAGTGTCCATCTCTTTTCATGGTCCGTATGTTAGGCATGTTACTGCCTTGATCTGCCACTGTTGCCTTCAGTATGTGCTGTGAGTGTCAAATTCTCCAAGCCGCCTCTCCAAATTAGTCATCACCGAAATTCCAACGGCCTCTTTCAGATCGCATTCAAAAGTCGACTTTTCCCTCGAGTTGTCATTAAAACTTTTCCGGAATATATAACTGAATTTGATTTAATTTTGTTTATGTGTTTAAAAAAAAAACTTAATCATAAAGGGAATAGATAACTCATTCATTCTTTTTTATATATATATATATATATATATATATATATATATATATATATATATATATATATATATATATTTCTTTTATCTTTTCTTTTTTTTCTTTCAAAATCAAAACTCAGGATGTTTATGTTTTGCTAGGAATATTTCTGAGAATTCACCGTCCGTGTATAATAAAATTACGAATATACAATTAAACAGAAAATAATTCAGAAAAATTAATTTCCATATAATTAGCCTATTTATTTCCAATTGCTGATGGAACCGTCAGTGACATCCCGCGAGCCACTAGCGTTCCATAGCAATCCCGTTGGGAAACACTTTTCTAGACAGCAGAAAGTCGAATAAATCCCGGAAGCTTGTCAAAGAAGAAAAATAAGTTCGGGAATCTGAAGACGGTTAGCTCTGCTTATTGGAAATCTTGAAACAATTCTAAAGATTCTCGAGCAAGAAAATTGCTAAGATCAAATGAAAATTAGGATTAGCAGTGAAAAATATCTGGACTGCAGAATTTAGTTAAAAAATTGCGGGTAATATTAAAAAGAGAAAAGAAATTTCAGCCATCTATTGAATCCAGACAAAAAAATATAACAATTAATATCATCGCCATTCGGGACGTAAGCGATCATGGCTATCCTAAGATTCTTTTCCTCTCTTATATGTAAATAGCCGTGTGTT